CTGCTGCAGCTGCTGACGTTGACGCCGACGCCGACGCCGACGTTAACGTCAGCGGCGACGTTAACTGCGCTGTTAGCGCTTTGTTTACATTGCCGAGCCGCTTACCGTTATAACCAATGTTTGTTGTTGCAGAAAACATTCCCCAGCTCCATGCGGCAAATGTCGCGCGTCCAGTGGCTAACACTAGACCACACACAGCTGCAGCAAATACCCGAGGAGCTGGGCCATCTTCAGAAGCTGGAGCACCTCTCCCTAAATCATAATCATCTGGAAAAGCTCTTTGGCGAGCTAACGGAACTGACGTGCCTGCGCTCATTAGATTTGCGCCACAATCAGCTAAAGAACAGCGGCATACCCCCAGAGCTGTTCCAGCTGGAGGAGCTAACCACATTGGATTTGTCGCACAACCGGCTAAAGGAGGTGCCCGAGGGTCTGGAGCGTGCCAAGAATCTAATTGTGCTCAATCTGAGCTCCAATCAAATTGAGAGCATACCCACGGCGCTGTTCATACATCTGACGGATCTGCTCTTTCTCGATTTATCGCACAATCGCCTAGAGACGCTGCCGCCGCAAACGCGCCGTTTGACCAATTTAAAGACGCTAGACTTGTCCGGCAATCCGCTGGAGCTGTTCCAGCTGCGTCAGCTGCCCTCGCTGCAGAGCCTCGAGGTGCTCAAAATGAGCAATACACAGCGCACGCTCCTCAACTTTCCCACTAGCATCGACAGTCTGGCCAATCTTGTGGAGCTGGATCTCTCGCACAATGCACTGCCCAAGCTGCCCGACTGCGTTTACAATGTGGTCACGCTGGTGCGCCTCAATCTCAGCGACAATGAGATTAACGAGCTCAGCTCCAGCATGGACCAGTGGCAGCGTCTCGAGTCGCTGATTTTATCACGCAACCAGCTAACTGTCCTGCCCGCCGCCCTTTGCAAGCTGTCGCGGCTACGACGCCTCTTTGTCAACGATAACAAACTTAACTTTGAGGGCATACCGTCGGGCATTGGCAAGCTGGGCGCCCTTGAGTGCTTCTCGGCATCGAACAATCTGCTCGAGATGGTGCCCGAGGGCCTGTGCAGATGCGGCGCGCTCAAGCAGCTTAATTTGAGCAGCAATCGGTTAATAACACTGCCCGATGCCATACATCTGCTGGAGGGGCTCGATCAGCTGGATTTGCGCGACAATCCGGAGCTGGTGATGCCGCCCAAGCCCAGTGAGGCCAGCAAAGCGACCAGCCTCGAGTTCTACAACATTGACTTCTCGCTGCAGACGCAACTGCGACTGGCCGGGGCAGCTGTGCCGCCCTCGATACCGGCTGCGCCGACGCCCAAGGATGCGACGGCACGCAAGATACGTTTGCGACGGGGTCCGCGTACGGAGGGCCAGGATGGCGGTCAGGATGCGGCCAAGGTGCTAAAGGGTATGAAGGATGTGGCTAAGGACAAAGAGAAGGATGACATGGATGCGTTGCCCACAGAGTCATTAAAGCCGAAACGTTGGGACGAATCGTTGGAGAAGCCACAGCTGGACTATTCCAAGTTCTTTGAGAAGGAGGATGGCCAGCAGCCGGGCCTAACCATCTGGGAGATCGAGAACTTTCTGCCCAACAAAATCGAGGAGGTGGTGCATGGCAAATTCTACGAGGGCGACTGCTACATTGTCCTTAAGACCAAGTTCGATGAACTGCACACGCTCAACTGGGAGATCTACTTCTGGATTGGTAACGAGGCGACGCTGGACAAGCGCGCCTGTGCCGCCATCCATGCGGTCAACTTGCGTAATTATCTGGGCGCACGATGTCGCACGATACGCGAGGAGCAGGGCGACGAATCCGATGAATTTCTGGCCCTATTCGAGACGGAAGTGATTTACATTGAGGGCGGACGCACTGCTACCGGATTCTATACCATCGAGGAGATGATACACATAACACGGCTCTATCTGGTCCATGCATATGGGGCTAGCATTCATTTAGAGCCAATGGCTGTGGTTGTGCAATCACTGGATCCGCGGCATGCCTTCCTCCTGGATGTGGGCACACGGATACATATCTGGCTGGGCAAGCGTTCAAAGAACACGCTCAACTCTAAGGCGCGCCTCATGGCCGAGAAGATCAACAAGACGGAGCGCAAGAATAAGTGCGAAATTCTGGTCGATATGCAGGGCGCAGAGAGTCCAGAATTCTGGGAGGCATTCGATATACTGCCGGAGGAGGTGGCCGATCTGCCGCAGCCCGAGGAGCACATCGATGAGAACTATGCGCCAGTACAGCCGCGCCTCTATCAGGTGCAGCTGGGCATGGGCTATCTGGAGCTGCCACAGGTGGAGCTGCCCGAACAGAAGCTTAGCCACACGCTGCTCAACAGCAAGCACGTCTACATCCTCGACTGCTATACGGATCTGTTTGTCTGGTTTGGCAAGAAGTCGACCCGATTGGTGCGCGCCGCCGCCGTCAAGCTGAGCCGCGAGCTGTTCAACATGCTGGAGCGGCCGGATTGTGCGCTGGTCATGCGCGTACCGGAGGGCAACGAGATGCAAATCTTTCGCACCAAATTCCCCGGGTGGGATGAGGTGATGGCTGTTGATTTCACGCGCACCGCCAAATCGGTGGCCAAAACGGGCGCCAATTTGACGCAATGGGCGCGCAAACAGGAGACACGCACAGATTTGGCGGCGCTGTTTATGCCACGCCAGAGCGCGATGCCGCTGGCCGAGGCCGAGCAGCTGGAGGAGGAATGGAACTACGATCTCGAGATGATGGAGGCCTTTGTGCTCGAGAACAAGAAGTTTGTCCGGCTGCCCGAAGAGGAGCTCGGACACTTTTATACGGGCGAATGCTATGTCTTCCTCTGCCGCTACTGTATACCTGTCGACGATGTCGATGCTGGCGAAGGTGGCGCCGAACCGAATGGCGATGATAGCAAATCCTCGCCGCCCGAGGATGAGATCGAGTGTGTTGTCTACTTCTGGCAGGGACGCAATGCCGGCAACATGGGCTGGCTAACCTTTACGTTTACACTGCAGAAGAAGTTCAAGGCAATGTTCGGCGAGGAGCTGGAGGTCATGCGCATCTTTCAGCAGCAGGAGAACCTCAAGTTCATGTCACACTTCAAGCGCAAGTTCATCATCCATACGGGCAAACGCAAGGACAAGGCGCTCACGCCCGATGGCAAACCCGCCGTTGAGTTCTTCCATTTGCGTTCCAATGGCGGCGCATTGACCACACGACTCATACAAATCCAGCCGGATGCAGTGCATCTGAACTCGGCATTCTGGTAAGTCTTGACAACGCCCCCCCCCCCCTCCCCCCCTTTTTTTTTTCATTTTATTATCGTTTATTAACCAGTTCATGGTTTAACTGATAACGTTTCCGATAAATCAGATAATATTATTAATGATCTCTTTTTTAATTGCCCAGCTATATTCTACATGTGCCATTCGAAACGGAGGACGAGTCACAGTCGGGCATTGTGTACGTTTGGCTGGGCAGCAAAGCGTGCAACGAGGAGACAAAGCTGGTGCAGGATATAGCCGAACAGATGTTCAACAGTCCCTGGGTGAGCCTGCAGGTGAGTAACAGCCCAATGGATCATTATCCAATATATATATATAGAGAGAGTGTGTTACATTTATGAATTGACATACCTACAGATACTCAACGAGGGCGACGAGCCGGAAAACTTCTTCTGGGTGGCGCTGGGCGGTCGCAAGCCATATGACACGAATGCCGATTATATGAACTACACGCGACTGTTTCGCTGCTCCAACGAGCGGGGCTATTATACGGTGGCCGAGAAGTGCGCAGATTTCTGTCAGGACGATTTGGCCGATGATGATATTATGATACTCGACAATGGTGAGCACGTCTTTCTTTGGATGGGGCCGCGTTGCAGCGAGGTGGAAGTGAAGCTGGCCTACAAATCGGCCCAGGTCTACATACAGCACATGCGCATTAAGCAGCCGGACCGACCGCGTAAACTGTTCCTTACCATGAAGAATAAGGAGTCGAGACGTTTTACAAAGTGCTTCCATGGCTGGAGCGCGTTTAAGGTGTACATTTAAAAGCCGTGCGGTGCCGTGACAGAGTAGCCGCCGGACATGACAATTTTCGACTGCAATATACACACACACACACACACACACACACACACACACACACATGTATATATATATATATATATATATGTATATATATATATGTATATATATATATGTATATATAAACACGACACAGAAACGCCAGCAAATGTTTGTACTTTTATAATGTATTTAATTGTTTATTATTATTTTTATTTAGAGCCGTTGTTTATTTTTTTTTTTTATATATTTCGCCGCCCAATTAATTAATTAACTCACCACTCGCCCCTGTCTACGCAAAGTATTCTTTTATCTATATATGTTTACATAGCTTTTGTATGTACTACTTATATTTTATACATATTTATATGCTGAGCCGGCGAAGTTTTTGTGCTAGTCTTGAAGGTGTTATCCTCAGAAATCGAAATGTAAACGAAACAAATCCAAACAATTGCTAATTGCACAATGTCTTGCTGCCTGCAAAAATTCGCCAACTAATTGTACAAAATCATATTTATTGCAATTAACCAATTATACAATGAAAGTGAATAAAAATGCCAATTGAAAACTGAAGTTCTTTGAAATAGCGCGCCCATCACCCCGATATACCTTCGATTGATTGTGGTGGATGCCGATAAGTCCGGCCAGATCGGCCAGCTAAGCTCGTTGCTGCGATCAAATTGTAATCGATAATTGGCGGGAGAAGCAACAGACAGCAGAGCGTGTAAAAGTATTGAATTCGTTGAGGGAATATTAAATGATTTCTGCTGGTATTTATGGCATGACAAAAACTATTCCATAACACAACACTATATTGAATATGTATTGCGAGTCAGAGTGTAGAGAAAAATGTTGTGCTGAGTAAGCTGTGAAACATATTATCATACAAACATAATCCTTACAGCCATCTGCTCAACTACGCCCAAAACAGAACGTTCGAGTAAGTTAATAAAAATGAAATGATTAGCCAGTCATAAAAACACAAGATAATTCGCAATACGCACACCGTTTAATTATCAACTGTAGTTGCTGCGAGCATAGCCGAGCTAATTTCGATAAATATCGCCAACTTTGAATCGATGATTCGATAAACGGTACATTTTACATCACTACACAGCGGCGTCGGTGTCTCTCTGCAATAGAGTATAAATCCGCGTTTATTTTTTTTTTGCCTCAATTTTTGTTAAAGAAAATTGTTGCAGCCACGGTAAGTGATTCAAAAAGTTGCATTAAAAAGATTGGCAACAGGCGTACAGACAACTACGCAGCATATTTCGTTTCGCGTTTCCATTTGCCGTGTATGTTATTATTTTTTACGCGTGTGGTTTTCGCGCTTCGTTCGCTTGGGGCTGAAGCTTAGGCGGCTCGAGCAAAACTGTGGATGAGCTTGTGTTTGTGGACGCAACAAGATAGCTAAAAACCATCAATCATAAGCACTTACCCACACACAAACACACACACACACACACACACACATTCACACACACGCAATGGATTTGTTCGACTTGGTGCGAGCAGCTCCACCGCCGCCAAGGGTACGAGAGGCGGCAGCAGTGCAGCCAGAGGCTGAGGCAGGAGCAGACGCAGATCCGAAAGAAAAACCCTCTACGCCGCCGCCATTGCCAATGTCGCCCATTTTTAATCCAGGTATGTGCCAATAGGACAGTCAAATAAGTCCAATTGAAGCTAAGTACAAACGAATTGCAGAGGATGATTCCGATACGGAAATCGCACTACCGCGCTCGCCGGTGCCAGCATCACCCATTTACAATTTGGGTCAGTTACAAAATAAACTCAAAATGTACGAACAATTATTAAATTCAATACATTATAGCTGAGGAGGATGACAAAGCAATAGTGGATGACACTGCTGCTGATGATGATGCCAATTCACAGGAAGCCGCGCTTGTTAGCGACAACAATGGGGACGACAACGCCGATCGCGACTGCGATGCTGACGGTGAGCAAGAGGAGGAGGATGAGGATGGGGATGATGAGCATCGACAGCCACAGCCGCCCAAGACGAAGGCCCAACAGAAAATGTTTGCAGATGTGCCAACAACTTCCAAGAATAAAACTGGTACCTCGGCAGGCATTAGACAATGCTTGGTGCGCATTAAGCGCTTGAACCAGACAGAGATTGAACGTTTAATCAAACGGAAAGCCAGCAAACGCGGCCGACCACGTAAAATGGCATCAGATTCACCAATGCTGGACGATTCTCCATCGCCGCCCAAAAAGCAAAAAACCATTAATAAGGTGCACATCAAAGTACCCTGGATGCAGAACGGTGCCAAGCAACGAGTCATACAGACAACGTCACGTGCACACACACCGCCGCCAAATCTGAAAAGATCGCTCAAACAGGCCAGGCCAAACAGTGTCAGCAAGGCGCTGGTGCAGCGTTATGGCGCTCGCTTCTTTAAATGCGTGGTCAAGTTGAAGCGCCTAACTGGCGCGGACATCTACACGCCGAAGCGCGCAAATCGAAAGTCCAAATCAAAGCTGTCGGTTTCATTTAGTGAAGCTGTCGAGATACTTGGCAGTAAACCGCGCAAATCATCGTCCATTGCGGGTACGCCCAGGCTGCTGTCGAAATTGTGCAATTCAGTGCCAACCCGTTTGCAACGTGTCGATGCCACTGGAAACGTGCTCGAGGACATTGAGCTTAAACACGACACCGTACTCGGCTCTGCTGGCAGCTCGGCCAGCCCAAGCAAGCGGTCCGGGCGAACGGCCGCTTGCAACGGCGGCCGACGTGGTCCTAAGCTCAAGCGACCGGCACTGCGTGTTCCAGTCAACGATTTGGCCAGTCTGCGCATCGATGACAGTCAGGATGAGGATGTGGAAAACGAAGCCGGCGACGAGTATATTGGTGAGTTAGTGCATAGTCAAAGATGCCTGATTACTGAACTAAATAAATATTTACTTTTACAGTGCCCAACGAAATGCCCGACTATCAAACATTGGGCGTGCGTCGCTCTGGCACTCCGACCCCAGTAAAACGAGTAACAGTAACTACAACAGTGAGTGACGAGGAGGGCACCGAAGGGCCAGAGCAAGGTCCGGAGCCAGTGCCAGTGCCAGTGCCAGAAAGTGATGCTGATGAAATCGCATCACCAGCCGAGAAACCACAATCTCAACCTAAGAAAGAGGAAACAGCTGAGCAAGAACATGAACAGAAGCAAACGGACCCGGAGCCGCAGCCAAAGGATGATGAACCGAAGCCTGTGGCTCCTGAACCGAAGCCTGTGGAACAAGAGACAGAACAGAAACAGTCGACAGACGTGCTGGAGCAGAAAGACTTAAAGGAAAAATCACCTGTATCGACTGCCCTAACGGATGATGTGACAACCGATGACATTTTAGAGATTCAAACATCCATTGAGGATGTACGGGAGCTGCACACTCCGCCCTCACGACAAAATACGCCACAGCTCCTGCCGCAGACACCCAATCGCACCGTAGGCTTTGAGTCACCAGAGTCTGACACCAGCTTTAAGTCGGCCCATGAGCAGGAAACCAGCAGCGCAGCTCTGACAACTGCTGAAGAGGCGCCGGCGCGGCAAATCAGCGAGACAGAGACGGTGGACACTGAGTTGACACCGCCTGTTGCAGCGACCACCACCTTCAATGCCAGTGAACCAGTCAGCGGCACCAGTAGCATACCGCAACCGCCGTACTCGCCGATCGGTGAAATACCGACTCTAGATGACGATGAACTGGGCCAGCTTGTGGGTGCGTATTGTCATTATAATTATTGTATTTTGTGTTGTTTTGTTTTTAATTTTCATGTTGGTCGGCTTTTGATTCATCATTATTCTTTCAAATTTTCTAGAGCCGGATTTTCAAATAAGCAACAGCCTCCATTCAAACTCCAGAGTCACCATGGAGGATATTCTGACAGTGTTTGAATCTTAGAAATTCAACTAAATGAACGCGTCACGCAAAAGGTTATTAACAGCGCGCCAAATTGTTTGTCTCGCTCTAAATACTTTTGTATGTGTGTGCATGCGCGCCTGTGTCTATGTGTGTGTGTGTGTGTGTGCTCTTCTATTTTGCCTGCATCTTTTGCCATCTCTTACAGCATGCAAGTTATCTCATCTCTTCATACGCTTGCAGTTGGTGTTCATTTTCGTGCCTAACATAATTCACATTAACATTTTGAATTACTGTTAGATCAAATTGTCGCATAACATGGCGAACGAATTACGCATGAATTGGGTGTTAATGTTCGTGCCTAACATAACTGTTTATAACATTTCGAACTAACTGTTAGATGAAATTTTCCCCCATTCCGTTTTCAATTAAAAATTGTATTAATAGTGAAATTTGTATAATTTAATGTTCTCTGGAGCTTAGAGGTTTTCTAGAGAGCAAATGCAGTATGTTTAAACTAAAAGGCTTTCAGTATACACTCTACTCAAGATTTCCTAGTCACAGTCTCTGCTTTGCGGTTTAAGTGTATTTGAACAAGAATACAATTTCATTTGAGTTCAAATTCGAAATGATTTTATTTCTTAAACTCCTAGTTTTATATAGCAGAACATTTATCAGGTTTCCTGTCGCATTTTGGTCTCTCACAAGGAACATGATCTGTGTTATTTTTGTGAATAAACCCCCATTTTTTTTTTATCACTTTCTAACCTAACGGAAACCTTATGTTGTTAATAGTCTTAGGTCAGCCAGCTATTTATTTTGGATTATAATCAAGTAAACTCCATGCGACTGATTTAGTCGGCAATTACACTCTGAATCGAGTTTCGAGTAGTCGATTAGGCCCGACTGTTAAGTTCTCTTTTTAATTTTGTTATGTTAGCTTGCAACTGCAGACTTGAAGATGTAAGCTTAACAGAGCTTGCACTAATACCTCCAGCATAAAGAGCAGCAAATGTTTCATTTGTTCATTTGTTTCCAATTGCCCAACATTATTTAGTTGGTTAATGACCCACATTATTTATTGTTATGCACGCATCGGTTCGTCTTACGCATTTCATGCTTTTATTAACAGTTTTAACAGCTTAGTTACATTTCAATGGCTTCTGTTAATGTTATGCTTAAATCCTTAAAAGCTTAAGACTTGATTAATTATAAATTGCACGCATATTTAAACCATATGTAACGCTTGAGCAAAATATGTAAAGTCTATTAGATAAATAGGCTAACTAACAATGTTGAAATAAATGTCTCGGTTTTTGCTTGCATGTTAAGATCTGTTAATCTGTTGTTCGACAAGAGCTACGTTTATTGTGATATTTGTTTTCTAATTTCTCTATTGTGAGTGAATTTAAGCACTATTACTGTGTTTATGCCTATATAACTGATATGTCTATTCTTTCTGTTAGACAGTTATTCGCTTTGACGTGGATCCTCGGCCTTGGACATTCAAATGGCTTTTTTGGAGGAGCTCAAGCAACACAACAACAACTATTTTTATTGAGTTATTTTTGTTGTTCTACCACAGTTTATTATTTAAATCCTTTTTTTTGTCATACCTGCCGTTTGGGTAATATACTCAGAAATGCACCATTTGTTGTATAGGCGCATTGCATATGGTATAGGTGTGTTGATCGCAAGTCTTTGTTATAGAGCAGGGTATTCAAAAAAAAAAAAAAAAAACAAAAAAAAACGACTATTATCTGCTCAGTTATTACCAACAGCTCTAGTCACGCGAGCGTTTAGTTAACATGTGAACTCTCTAAGCCGTGAACGGTTACCATACAGCTAACATGAACTTTAACATTAATGTTTGGGATGTCTAAACACAGTTATGCCGATCAAACATACACACACACACACACACACACACACACTCATACACATCGACACATGCAACACATTCACACAGAGCAACAAAATTTCAAAAAGAACATAAACTCAATTTGCTCCATTTGGATTTTTTTTTTTAAGTAGATGTAAATCTAATTGATGTATTATTATATAAATAAAGTCAATATGTAAATGGAAATCGGCTCAGTGTTATCTAAAAAGTACAGTTGACTCAACTATTCCAAATGAAGCTTTGAGAATGAGTCTGGTGTCTATTTAAAGTGATTCCTGTGTATAGGATTTCTCATAGTCTAATTCCTAATCGGCTCATAATCATGTTATTTTCTTTCTATATCTTTTCCGCATATCCGAAAAACTGTTGCGCTGTTAACCACTTTCTAGCCTTAACATTCGGCTCGTAAACCTAAGTTCTATATTCATAAGCCCAAGTCTTGTTTTTATCAAATTTTAAACAAATCAATTCTATTTGTAGTTAATGTGCATTCAATATATTCAAATTCGACTGGGAGCTTTGATTTAATTAGGTTTCCGTTTTAATGTTTATGTTCATACTGTAACGCTTAACAGTATTGTGAATATGCCAAAGTTCTGTTAGACTCAAAATGGCGCTGTTAATACAAACAATTCTGTTAAATGGCTGTGGCTGTCGCTGCCGCTGCCGTTGCCGTTGCTCATACGCCTCGTTGGCCGTCGTCGAGTGCGGTTGATTTTGATTTCCTTTGGCTGTTCGCTGCTTCGGGCGTCAATTCGCGACGGTGTACGTTTTACTTGGCGCGTATTTAAATTGCGTGCGAGCTGCTAGTGAAATAAATTGAGATTAAATTAAAAATCATTGGGATTTACTGCAATGGTTCGAGGCAGTTTAAGCGGCGGGCGCTGGTCGCCAGCTAATTGATGGGACCACTGCCAAATCAGAGAGTGCAATTTGTAAATATTAACAACACAGCAGTGCAAAGCGATGCCCGCCAAGGCCAGATCGCCCAACGACTACGAATCGCAGGATGAGGCCAACACTGAGCTGCTCGAGAAGCTCAAGCATTTGGATCGCCGTGCCGAGGCTGTCGAGAGCGGTGGCGGCATCTGTAGTCGCAGCTCCGCCTGCTGGCAGTCGCTCAAATGGAAGTCAGCTTTGAATCACATCGGATTGCTTGTCTCGCTGTCCATCTATTGCGGTGTCGGCGGATTGGTAAGCTAACTAACATAATTTGACAACACACGCATCATACAAACAAGCAAAAAAAAAAAAAAAACAAGCAAACAAGCAAACAAACAAACAGACAAACAAACAAATCATTTGCATATTTTGAAAAAAAAAAAAAAATTTGAAATAGTTGAAATTTACAATAACAACAACAACAACTTGTTCTGGAACTGGGCGTTAAATTTCTGTTTGCCTGTGCGCAGAATACAACACACAGATTTATTGCTGAGAAAATACTAAAAATTAGCTCATAATTAAGACATAAAACTATTCAGTGCATTATTTAAGTGCCGACCGTAACTGCCACGCCCACGCACCCAATTTGCCATCTCTCTGTTCGAACGCCCACGCAATATACGCGCCCAATAGCTATATATTTCATATTCATCTCCAGTCGGACTCGACTGGATGCGCTGCATCATTGACCACATTGACCGCAGCCACAGCCATAGCACGACATGTGTGTGTGTGTGTGTGTGTGTGTGTGTGTGAGTGTGTTTGGGTGTGCAAGCATTTAGACAAGTTTAAATAGTTTTTGTCTAAACATTTACATTTTGGCCAATGACGTCGTCATTTATTGGTCTCCCCTCAATTGGCCAATAATGAAGTCAATATCCATTCATGACTGCAACGCCAACAATGCCGCCGCCATCAAGTGCAGCGCCACTCTCATTAGCAGCACTAATTGTTGCCATCCGGCTTTCGCAACACGAGCCAAGTGACATATGACCAATTGTCGTGCCTCTGTCACATTTGTTACCCGCTACCAATTTTCTGAGCCTGATCCCAGCCAAGAGTGGGCCAGCTGCTTGGTCTGCTTGCTCTTTATGTTTAAGAGGTAAAGCGACATGCAGCTTTGAGGAGCTCACCTTACTACACACACACATGTCTATATATACATATATATCTACATATATACATATTATATATTTAATAGTGATTTTTGTTTACATTCCTGACATAGTCGAAAAACTACACACACGGCACAAAATATACATATATTATCATGCCGAAAAATAACAAATCTATATGAATGAAAATACATATAGCATGCATGTAGATTCCATTGATTAGATGCTGAAAAAGTTAAGAATCTTCTTGAAAAGTCATAACAAGCTGAATATGGTTAACTTTCTAGAATAGCTTTTTAATCAAACAACTTTGAATTCTCATGAAGATTCTCTCATTGCAACCACAAATTTCACTTTGTTGCCCAATTCCGCTGTGGAGTTTCCGAAAAGCGTGAAACGCGTAAAACTCAAATGAAAGTACGATTAAGAGAATTCTTTGTTTTATGTTTAGATTTACTGAATAATAATATTTTTTATTATTTAATGAAAGTAAATTTCATATATTTCACAGTCTTAGAGCTGAAGTAGCAAATTGGCTAGTTAGGCTAAAAATAAATATTTGCTACTCTTAACTACGAGCTAGTTTTTTCTTCAAAATGAGTTGGCCCATTTATGCATTTGATGTACACCTAACTACGCTTAAAACACCCAATCCCCCCCCCTCCCCTCCCGACGGGCACTGAAAAAGTTGGTCCTTGATTGAAATGGCGTAAAACGAGTCCACAATTTGCATACATTTGTATGGGTGGCATTTAAATTGGTTTCGAGCTCATGAAAAAAATTATGTTAAGCGAATTTTTGAAAAACAAAACTATTTATTTCATTCATTTAAATATAAAAACAAAAGCAACTTACAATAAAATTGAATTGCTCAGCAAATACACCCAAAATAAATAAATAATATTTGAGCTTTAGACAATTTCCAGCGTTCGCTGGAAGATCCTTTAAAATTGGTTTCTTTGAGAGTTAACGCGAATGAATCACGCTAATTTACATTCATTTCATTGAGGTACATTTGAATAGCATTTATAAATTAAATACGGGCTCTTCTGAGAAGTTTGCAGCAATGTTGCACATGCCATGTTAAAAACTCACTTGCTTTACATGTTTTTTTTTTTACGACGGCGGTTGCCATGTCTACAATATGCTCGTGGACTTTTTTGTGTGCTCATCAATCTCGTGCTGCAATTTTTGATGCACTAATGAGGCAGGCCTTCAAACGAAGCCGTGTGTGTCGCAGAACGTACCATGAACTGAAAACATTTTGTTGTTATTCAAGTTTAAATACAATAAAACAAGTAAGAGCTTCTAGTCGGTTGCTTCCGACTAGGAGATACTTCGATCACTCTTCTTCCAGCACGAAATGCAAATATATATACTATTCTGGCAGCTACATGCCAAGTTTGCTGACTCTAGCTCTTAATATTTGCCAAAATTACTCAAAAAAACACGATTTCTAGATCGATTTTTATCGATTACTTGGAAACGGGGCAAGTTATCGAATATCGGAAACAAACTCGATCTGCGCGCGCACCAGGAGCACCTTCAGCTATTTGTAACATACAAGTTTTTCATTGAGAAAATATTCAGAATTAGCTCATATACATATAAATATGAATAATATTTCTAGCTTGGATATAAAAATTTGGAATTTCTTAATATTCATAATTTGCATATCTTTGATTTGAAATGCACATTTATTTGTATTTGAATTGCATTGAAAATTTAAGTGCATATTTTGATGGATTACAATTTGGAAAATAATTGTCTTTAAATTGCTCAAAATAGCTACAAATTTAATATTTTACTTGTGTTGGATTTTTTTTTTTTTTTTTTAAGTTAACAATTTCAATACAAATAGTTGCTAATTGCCTTTGGGTTGAAATATGCGTCAGAATTTATTGTTTATTTTGTCTGAGTTCGAGTTCAGTTTTCAGCAACAAATCATTTACTGCCGCGTACCCGAAACATGGATTCATTTATCATTTGACTTTTAATTTGTTTGCAATTAAATTGCTGGCATGCCATTTTTTCTGAATGCTCAGTGCCTGATTCATGGGCTGAACCTTTAGCCAGCCATTTGACCAACTCTTCGGTTTTGATCAGTGAGCAATTGCCATGAATTAATCAAAGAGAAAAACCTACACACACACACACACACACACACACACACACACACGAGCGCAGAGGGAGAGAGAGACAGACGCGCCACCCACAGCACATGTTGGCCAATTACGCGCACTTTGATGCCAAATTGATCATCAAATTGTTGAAAATTTGAACTTGAATTCGAATTTCAATACGAATTGTGAGCATTTGTTTTATGTTTCGCTGCCTTTTGATTTGGCCTATCGTCGCGCGAGCACATAATGAACTGGCTGAGACAAGCCAAGTACCAAAAATAAAATGTGGCCTCATCAGCTACTCCAGACGGCAACAGTCGTTGGCGGCGGCGGGTGGCGGCTGGTGTGTGCGGGGGGTGGGGGGGGGGGGTGTGCTGGTTGAGGGCAGCTGAGGTGTTGTTTCTCGGTGCGTATGCGTAATCTTTTGCAAGCCAGCCAAGCAGAAGACATATCATCAACGCTGCAACCGCAAGGCTCCAGCTGTGCTGCTGCTCGCATGGCAACAGTTGCAACAATCTCTTGTTCTTTTGCATTCATTTTGCATTCACTTAAGGTTAATCCTGCAGCTTGCGGCAGTTGCCATGTTTGGCATAAGCTTGCATTCTGTTGCCAGTCTCGCTTACCAAATGAAACGGAAGTGAATGCCACACAGATACATGACCGCATGCACACGCACACAAACACACATACATACATATATATATATATATATATATATATATATATATGCACATAATATAGCACAATATGGCTTTTGGTTTCGGGTTTGAACATTTGTAAAGTTGCGAACGGAAATCATCTGTGAGCCAACACATCAAGTAAATCCCTCAAAGGGAAGATTTAAGTTCTCGTTGCCGAACATCAAATACCCTTAGCACACATTCATGCCCAAA